ATCTGAACTGTTTCCATTGTTTTTCTCTGTGGCCTGGCAAGGCTGCACCTCCCAGGGTAGGTGATTAGAGAGCCTATCACTGAGTTCATGCCAGAGAAATCCTCTGCTCTCCTTTTTAGGGAACCCACTTGGAGACTGAGTCTATGAGCTACAGCTGAACCTGGGTTTTAGGTCCTCTCCATGCACTGTCCTTGGTTTGGGTATCACTCTCCGCAGGGCCGCCATGGCTTAGTTTTATTGGCTCTGTTGCTCTCCTTTTGGATCTCCTGTCCCCTCCAGGTCTTTTTATCTCCCCCTTCTTTCATAAGATTACCTGCACTCTGCCCCAAGTTTGACTGAGTCTCAGCCTCTGCTTCAAAACTTTGATTAGTAGAGTCTTTCAAAGGCTGATTGTGGTAGGCTTCTATCCTGTTCCCTGTCTTCTCCTGCTTCCAATGTTCATTGCATTTGTCATGCTCATGAGAATTGAGCATCTTCCATAGGGTCTTCTCTGTTGTTTAGCTTCCTTAGGAGTATAGATTTTAGTATGTTTATCCTATGTTATATAGCTAACATCCATTTATGAGTATATACCCTGTGTGTCTTTCCGCTTCTGGGTTACTTCACTCAAGATGATCTTTTCTAGTTCCCACCATTTGTCTGCAAACTGCATGATTTCTGTATTTTTAAAAGCTGAGTAGTATTCCATTGTGTAAACATACCACAATTTTTGTATCCATTCCTCCATTGAGGGGCATCCTGGTTGTTTCCAGCTTCTGGCTATTAGGAAGAAAGCTGCTGCAAAACATGGTTGAGCAAATGTCTTTGTTGTATACTTGAGCATATTTTGGATATATGCCTAGGAGTGGTATAACTGCATCTTGAGGTAGCACTATTCCCAATTTTCTGAGAAAGCACCAGATTGATTTCCAAAGTGGTTGTATAAGATTACATTCCTACCAGCAATGGAGGAGAGTTACCTTTCTCCACAACTTCTCCAGCATGTGTTGTCACTTGAGTTTTTCATCTTAGCCATTCCGATGGGTGTAAGGTGAAATCTCAGGGTTGCTTTGATTTGCATTTCCTTGATGATTAAGGGTGTTGAACATTTCTTTGTTTCTCAATATTCCTCTAATGAGAATTCTCTGTTTAGCTCTGTACCCCATTTTAATTGGATTACTTGTTTTGTTGGTGTTTAACTTCTTGAGTTCTTTATATATTCTGGATATTAGCCCTGTGCAAGATACAGGGTTGGTGAAGATCCTTTCACAATCTGTAGGCTGTTGTTTTGTTCTGTTGACAGTGTCCTTTGCTTTACAGAAGCTTTATCAGTTTCATGAGGTCCCATTTATTGATTGTTGATCTTAGAGCCTTTGCTTTTGGTGTTCTGTTCAGGAAGTTTTCTCCTGTGCCAAAGCGTTCAATGCTCTTTCCTACTTTTTCTTCTGACATATCTAGTGTGTCTGATCTTATATTGAGTTCTTTGATCCACTTGTATTTAGTTTTGTGCAGTGTGAGAAATATGAACTTTGCATTTTCTACATGTAGACATCCAGTTAGACCAACACCGTTTGTTGAAGATGTTGTCTTATCGTAGCTTTGTGGATTTATTTCTGGGTCTTCAATTCTATTCCATTGATCCACCATTCTGTTTTTATGCCAGTACCATGCAGTTTTTATTACAGGTGTTCTGTAGTACAGCTTGACATCAGGGATGGAGATACCTCCAGATCTATTCTTGTAAAGGATTGTTTTAACAATAGTGTTTTTTGTTTGTTTTTCCATATGAAATTTAGAATTGTTCTTTGAAGGTCTGTAAAGAATTGTGTTGGTATTTTGATGGGAATTGCATTGGATCTGTAGATTGCTTTTGGAAGGATGGCCATTTTAATTATGTTAATCCTTCTGATCCACATGAAAGACCTGTATGAAAAAAAAAAAAAAAACTTCAAGTCTCTGAAGAAAGAAATTGAAGAAGATATCAGAAGAGGGAAAGATCTCCCATCCTCATGGTGGATCAGTGGAATCGAAATAAACCCACACACCTACGGATACTTGATTTTTGGCAAAGAAGCCAATGCAATACAATGTCAAATCAATTTTCTTTAAACTCCATTTTTTTCCTCAAGATTGGTGTCATAATGCCTTGTGGTTACAGAACTGCTAGAAAGAGTGACTATTTAACTTTGAAGTTATCTTTACATTAAACTTATCTTTCTACAGAAGCTTAATGTTTTTGACCCTACTTTAACTCTTTTCTGTATCTGTTTTTGTTTTATATTTTCATAAGACCACAGTCCTTCTCTTGATTTTTAAAATATTGTGCAGCTTTTTTTGCTTAAGCAAAGGTGATCTGTCCTTTCTTCTTTCTATAATATCAGAAAAGTCCTGGTCTGACAAGTCTGTTCAGGAACGCAGGCAGTTCACTGAGCCAAAATATTTGTCTCATGAATCCTTGTTTCAATACAATTCCTGTCTTTATTACAGTCCTATAAAAGATAGAACATCAGGATTTCTAAACTTGCTTATCTTCAGGAAGGTACCACGGTCTGTCAATAGTACCATTATCAAAATCTCTTTCTGTCCATACTAGTTCCTTATTTCTGATACTGAACATGAAAACTTACTATCATCTTCTTAATTTTCCCTAAGTTTTCCTTCTTTAATAATTTTATTCAAATCCTGTCTCCTATTTACCGATATAATTTGTTCATAATCTAAATATATAGCTAAATAATAGATTCTATGGAAGATTCAATTTTCTGCATTGCTGTTTTTCCCAGAGAATTTCCATTAGCTTTATTTTTATTAACACCAGCTTTAGTTATATTTTCCCAACTCTAGCTTCCAGAGAGAGAGGCCTGTAATAGCAAGAAATGTCAGTCTAGGATGTCCAGGCACTGGAACTTTGTCAGGTGGCACCTCCAGGACACTTGCCTATTCACCAAGGCCAATGAAATCACTCACTGTCAGTAGGCGAGTGTCAATACGTGATTTTAGCTATAGTGGTGTTTCTTTTAAGGACTCAGCTGCTCTTGTGTTTGGTGCATAATTAATTGTTTAGAATTGCAATATCCTCCTGGTGGACTTTTTTTTTTTTTTTTTTTTTTGAGTATGTAGTATCCTTCCCCATCTCTTCTGACTAGGTTAAGTTTATCATCTGTTTTGTCAGGTACTAAAATGGTGACACCAGCTTGCTTTTCGGTTACTTGGAATATTTTTTTCCCCGTCCTTTTATCCTATCTTTAATGTTAAGGTCTATTTCTTGGGTGCAGAAAGATGTGTACTATTTTCAAATATAGTCTGTTATTCTGTTTTATTTCACTGTTTTTCAGTGATTTCTCCTATCTTGACATGACACCAAAATGGAAAGTGTAGTAAAACGTGTCTGATTTTGAACATATTTCATTTGAAGGTGGTTTGAAAACACTCAGTAAAGCTCAACAATGCTGTGAAGATCCAGGTACACACAAGTCTGATTAGTAAAATCTGAAGATAGATCTCTGAGTTAGGAGTAAGTTACATATAACCTTCAGCTAAACAACCTAAATTTAGAACTTAGCTCCACCATTCACCAACTTTTTGACTTCAAGAGAGTTATTTGCCCTGTCTATGGCTAGTTTCTTCATTTCCTTATAAAAATTTACTAGCTTTCAAAAGTAAATAGGTGTCTATAAAGCACTTAACCATGTCTGGAATGTGTTATTATGTATATTTAGTAGTGTAATAATAGGTTAGAGGTTAATAATTAAAATCTTGGGCAGGGATATAATCAGACAAAGAGTAACAGTTTAAGAAACTAAGAGAAACAGTGAATGAGAACAGGAGTGAACCTTTAGAGCACACTGTAGATCAAAAGATAAACATACTAAAGTATATTGCCAAAGCATCAAGAGAAAATTAATAGTGTTGATGACTAAAGATTTTAAGTGTGAGATAACAACATTAATTGTAATAAACAGCTGCATAAGGCTTTTATTAGCACATAGGATTTTGTGATCCAGCTCCCAAAAATCTTTTTAGGTATGGTCATAGTATTATTCTTGTACCTATGCCAGTAGACACGGCTCAGCTACCAGCCACTTTCCATAATTAATGTGTCTCCAAAATTCTTACACATAGGTATGAAACTCCATTTTTCTTCTGGTTACAGTATAGATGTAGTGATTGATTATTACCGAGCATAAAGCCTCATGACTCCTTTCTTCATGGGAAAGACTGTGAAGGCTATTGCAGATTTAACCTGTTAATCAGTATGATCCCAATTCTCAAATAGTCACTTAACTACAGGATTCTGGATATTTCTGAGAGCTGGTCTCTGAAAATTTAAACAAACATTTCAAATTTTTTATACAGGATATTACACGCACAGAGACTCAAGGAATCGAATCTATGACAATAAGAATCAGTTTTATCTGAAGCATGAGTGTAGGAATGGAGGAGATGGTTAATCGATTAATGTAGAGGCAAAACTTAAACAAAAGACCCCAAAGACCATAAATTCTAGCCACGGAAAGGAATTATAAAGGTTCTTTTGCAACTACCATGTCTACTGAAGTAAGAAGCCAATGAAGACATTCTACCATCGGCGTGCAAAAGCACATGCACAACAGAACACGACTGACACCGGAAACATTTTATTTCGCGTAGGCAGCTGGAGAACTTTCTCTTTTGATTCTTCCTTTGATCCGGAAAAAGAGAGTTCAAGCGGCGCTGGCGATTGGACCGCGTCACAAGGGCGGGGCCATGCCGACCCATTCGCCTTGCTAACCGGATGTGATGTGGCAGGACGCCGGGGCAGAGGTTTGCTCATTGGGGCGGCTCGCTCTGGTGGGCGGGGTCGCTGGTGCCAGAGTCTTGCTCGGCTCTCCGGGTCTACAGAGTCGGGGGCGGGGCCACGGGGGGGGGGCCACGGCTGCCGCGCCGACGCTGACTGGCTGTGGCACGTCACGTGGCTCAGGCTCGCCCCCCCCCCCCAAACCCTCTGAGCTTCCGGAAGCCGGGAAGGCGCGGTCGCGTAACTGCGTCTTCTCGCCTCTACAGCCGCTTCCCTCCGAGGCCAGGGGAGCCGCCCTTCCGCGTGCTTTCTGTCACGGGCCCCCCTCCACCTCCCCCCAGCAGCTGCGGCTCCACACTCCCCTCTGGCCCGCGCCCGGCTGGGGACGCCGTCCCCTCAGCACTCACTGCCCCGTCCCCTCCCACCCCTCTAAAATGTCCCGTAGTCTCCAGAACGCCCTTCTGAAAACCGCAGAGGAAAATTCAGGCTCGCATTGGTAAGTACCAGTTCTCAGCCCTTCACGTGCCCGTCCGTAGCCCCGCGTCTTAGGATGTCAGACGGCCGCGTCAGCTGACGTTCGGCCCCGCCGCCGGGGCTCGCCCGCCCGCCGGGCCTCCCGACCGCAGCGCCGCCGTCGCCCTGGGCGCTCCGGAGCCCCGGCGCGCGCTCCTCCCGAAACGCAAACCGTCCCCAGACCGTGACGCATTTAGCCACTGCAGCACTCGGGCGCGCCAGACACCGTCCGCTCGAATTTCATAGGCTGACCAAGTAGATGCCCACGGAAGAACATGGCGACGCTCTCGGCGTTCAGATCCTCCAGGAAGAGTCTCAAGCACAGCCTGAGCCACCGAAGCCTGGATTGTTAAGTGCAGCCCCGGGGCGCTGGACCTTCAAGTGAAAATAGTCACAATTTAATACACTTAGGAAGCATGGTCTAGAACAAGGAGCTTGAGTGTTTGAAAAATTTCAACTGATACGGAGAAAAGTTAAAACGTTAAATGTAAAAATCGGCTTTTTCCAGGCAGAGCGTTTGAAACGGGCCTGAAGGCGGTGAATCTACAAAGAACAGTTTTTGCTGATAATTTCGAACGCTGTGGTTCTGGCTGGGTAGGAAACTTGCTATATATAGGTGAAGCCCAGCCCGGGCTGCCTGCGACAGCCTTCTTTGGTTTAAAAAATATATATATGTCACCAGTAACTTTTAAAGAATGTTATGTCTGTAGAAGTTTAATGAACAGCGTGAAATAGTGTAAGAAAGAAATAAAGGATTATTTATATGTTTGCTACAAGTTTGAGAATACAACTTTGTGTTTCCTTTTTAGCCCGCGGTAGCTTTCGTTTAATTACAAGTACATACAAACCTTAATTGGAATGAAAAATAATGGTAATTTTTTAAAATTACTTTTCCCTTAAAAGCCTGGTCTGACAAAAACGAGTGTCCTTGGTCAGCCTTCCTAGTAGAGTTGCCACCGTGCAAGTGGAAAAAAAAAAAAAATGTCAACAATAGTAAATACTTGAGATGTTGATGTTGAAAGTACCATTATATCAATTATTTGGTAGTATGTTTGTGTTTTGTAGAAATTTAAGAGGGAGATTTTGTCTTATAGAGAGAGGCTAATGTAGAACTGCTTTTAAATGTTTTATATATTACCTGTATGTTGATGATATATTATGGACTATATAATTTATAGCAGATATTTAAGATAGCGTTCTTTTTCAATCCCAGAAGTAAGATTAAGTGATACATAAAAGTTTTTGGTTATGCACTTGGCTCTCTTTTAAAGAATTTCTAATAATTTTGACAAATTTTTAACTCTGAAAAATATTTTAGATTCAGTTATGTTTTGGTTACTTTCGTAATTCATTACAAAGTCATTGATTCATTGGTTTATGTGTTGGTGCTTTGTTATACTTACATGCTTTCATTTCTTTAAATTATCTGATATTATTATGACATATTTGGCGCATTTACCACCAGATGGTTACCTGGGATGTTTGTCACTTTGATTACTGGTTACATACTTAGATATACTTTCTTTTAACAACAACATGCCTAATGTTGAAATGTAATGATGTAAATAATTTGAATAATGTCACTTCTGTTTTATTGAAAGTTTTTTTTTTTTCTTGGAATGGCATTGTCATTTGTTTTGTTTGTAAAATTAATAGGATTTTCTTTCTGTAGATACTTAAACTTTCCTTGAGTTCTTTTAAAGAAAATTCAGTATTGTGATAAAGGATGTTTTTGTTTAATTTATCTTATTTAATCAGGCATAAAAATAGGAAACTCAGTTCTATAAGTGCAGTGCCAAATCTGGATGTTTGTACTGTGTTACCCATAACTTATTCAGGTTTGCATTGAGTTCTTATTTACTCATTGTGTACCTCAGATGGGGTAATTGCTTCTAAAGACAGGGGTGATTTAGAATGAAGATTATATTTTAAATGACTTCTGAGAAATCCTGAGGAATTGGATTAGGTGATATAGAATACAGATTAGATTTAAAGAAATCAAATGGAAAATGGGCAGACCTGATTAGGAAATTACTGTTTCTTGGGAAGATGTTATGCCAGTTTTCTGGTCAATATTTGTGAATTAGATGAGACAAATTCAATTGCCCAGTTAAAATTGCTGTTCTCAGCATGCGGTTTGGTTTGCTTGGAAAGAAAATGTTTCACTGCTGGTTGAAGTCTTTAGCTGTGAAGTTTTATCTTTATAACTTTATAGAGTGGAACTGGAAAGACATATAACTGGACTCTGTCACTAATCTTGTTTATGCAATTGATTTGTGGGATCCTGCTATGAAGAGATTTTTTGTTACTCAAAAATCGTATAAAATATGGGTAAATCTGTTTAAGGAAAGCATGCAATTCTGTCTTAAGTTATTGAAAAATATTTAAAACCCTGTATTTTTTTTCAGCTATAAATGTTAATGACAATGTAGGGCTATCTTGCTTGGCCTTTAGTATTAGAGCTAACCATAATATTATTACATAAATAATACACAGTATTTATTATTGTATATATTGTAACATTAGGTTCTTACATATTTTTATAAATAGTAAGGGAAATGGTCTTCTAATAGCTGAAAATACATTATTTTCAAGCCTATAGGTTTTCATTATTCCATTTCTAATACATAAATGATGCATATCCATATTAGAGTATTAAAAAAGTCAGAAATTATATAATTTTATTAGTACTTTTAGCAGGACTTTTAATTTTGACATGGGTTGTCACTATATTAATCAGACTGTGTTGAGCACCAAGACAAGTGATTTCCCCTACTCCTACTTCAGTCTTCTAAGTAGCTGTAACTACAGATATATGCCACTGTGGTTAAGTAGGTTTTCCAACATTAGTTAGCCAGTAAGTGTAAGAGACAGAATTAGAAACCTGTAATCTTTCTAATGTACTCCTCTTTTTTCTTTTCAAGTCTTCAGCTTTAGTTTTTTCAGTGTGGTTTCTCAGTTCAAATACCAGATGGTTTAGTGTAGTTAGTACACCAGTAATTCGAAGTGACCAAACTGGACTATGGGATGAAGAATATTGATTCTAGTGTCATCTGTTGATGACATTTGGCCACAAAATATGATTTCTAAGAAAATGGAATATATTTAAGAAAGTGGGGTCTTTGTGTGATTTTGGTTAAACTATTAAATATTCTTACTAAATCTAAAAAGGTTGTAATTGGTTGAAAGATCATGTATGAATTTTATTCTGATTTATCACTTTTCTCTTTAGAAGTTTGCATTTTAGTTTAAGGAACTCATTTAATTTTGTTTTGAGTAGATCAAATAATTTTAAATAGCTTGTAGTAATCTTGCTAACATGTTAATTTGTTCTATTAAACACAGAGGAGATATGAATAGGATAAGCTATTAAAAGAATTTATGGTATGTGATAGATTATGTCAATACTGATTGATATTTAGACTTGGAAGAAGCTGCATTTTTATAAAATGTCTTTGGCGGGCAATTGATAGTTATAAAGATAGATAGATAGATAGGCGGGCAATTGATAGTTATAAAGATAGATAGATAGACTGATTTAAATTATACTATATATACAAATTTTTTGTAAAGCTAAAATAAGGAAATCTTTTAACATATACTGTGAGGTATTAAAAAATCTGTAATTTATTCATTTATGTCATTTGAAATATACTTGCTTTTACACAAATGTAAAACTAGATTATTTCTGTTGAAGCTTATGGTTTGTTAGACAGATTTTTCTAATAAAATAAAATATATTTATATCAAAGGTGACTAAGCAAGAATATTGAACTTTTTTTTAATTGGCAATTGGAAAGATTTGCATTGTTTTTTTATGTAATATTTTTGAGGGTTTACTATTCTTAATATTTGAAAAATAACTGTACAATTATTGAATTTCTCATCTTAAAGAATTTCAGTGTTACTATGGAAAACTATTGACTTCTTTCTTAAAAAGTAGGTAGAGTAAAGGCATTGTATTCCAGTATTAGCTGAAGTAACAGCAGTAATGCTTTAATTCCAAAGTTGACAGGTGTACTATGGAGGAGGTAGAATTTAGAACTTCATTTTATGTTGGGTAGCAACCTAGGAACGCTTAGCGCACTTAGTTAAACAATGCACATGATATAAAGGAGTTTCTCTGGTAAGAGCAGAAATTTTAATGTGGAGAAGTAGGTTATGGTTGTAGAGCTATTGATTATGGATGGTTTTGTTGTTATGTTTGGGAGTTCAAGCTGGATTGGCAATGATGTGTATTAATTTCAAAACTGAGTATGAAGTAACATTATGAAATCAGCATTAGTCTTTCATAGATTCATGCGAGTCAACAGAAATTACCGTCAGAAAAGCTAAACACCAGAGTAATATATGGGTAAGAGATGAAGAGTACCAGACACAAGGAGGTCGGAATAAATCTATATAATGGATAAAGAAAACAAGATAGGGAAAACCTAATTTAAAAATATAAAATAAAACTTGATAGTGTAAATTTTTTTATTCATTTAGGGTGTAATTCTCAGCTGTTTACCTTTTATAAGCTTGTATTCATAGTGCTGTAGATAAATGTAAAAATACTAAGAAGGATGATAAGTCAAAGTTAATTGGATGATTAATCTATGTGAGCTAGAAATCAGTGCTGTTACATGGTTGCAAACTAGAATATAGTTCTAGTTTTAATAGAGATGAATTTTACTTTGTTGAATTTTAAATGAATGGTATTTAAATTAGAATGTTCGATAAAAGACCACAAATATGGAAGTGGGGATTAATAATGAGGAAAAGAGTAAAAAGATGTAACTATAATGGTCTTTGTTGCAAAGGAGATAATTGAGGGAAAAGTTGAAAGAGCCATGAAAACGAGTTCAATCTCTAAGGGGAAAATATCTTGATGGAGAAAAACAGTGTTAAAATGAACTGGGCAAGAACTATATTTGGAAGAATAATCAAAGATGAATACTTACAATGCAGAAAAGTTAATGAGATATTAAGAAAGTCAAGAGAAATTCATTGTACACAATAGAAAGCATGAAAGAGCTTTACAAAGAAGGAATAGTAAGAGTTGTTATTTGCAAAAGAACATGTGGAGAAGGGGTAAGAGAATAACAGATCTAAGTGTGAAGACATACTTGGTAATCTTTGAGAATGAAGTTTTAGTGGAATTATAGGAAAGAAATTAAACTACAAAAGAGAATGTCAAGACAACTTTCTAGAATATTGAAAATTGTAGTTTATTAATACTAGGTACCAATTTCCTCTCATTTGACTTGTATCTACCTCTTATAATTTTTTT